TCCCTCCCAACTCTCCAACCTCTTATTAAGCCCCTGTAATCTTCTCTAGAAATTAGTCTCCCTAGAACTTCAGCAACCAATGTAAATAAAAAAGGGGAAAGGGGGTCTCCTTGTCTAATCCCTCTCAAGGCTAGAAAGAAATCTACCATTGTCCCATTTACCAGTATTGAGTAATGGCAGTTCCTGATGCAGCCCAACACCCATTTGCACCAATTATCTCCGAACCCAAAATTGATCATCACCTTCGTCAAGAAAGACCAATCCACCAAATCATAAGCCTTTTCCAAGTTTAATTTGCAAACCACCCCTTTTTTCTTGGATCTCTTGAACTCCTCCAAAATCTCATTTGCTATCAAAATCTGATCTGTTATCTGTCTCCCCTTCACAAATACTCCTTGGTTATCTGCTATGATTGCTGGGAGCACTTTCCTAATTCTAATGGACAGCACCTTAGTGATCATCTTATAGAGGCTGTAAACTAGGCTGATTGGCCTAAAGTCCCTCGGGTGATTTGCATTTCTCTAGAATGGAATTCATCAAACACAAGCCACAAATCCTCTTTTAATATCTCGCAACAATCCTAATAAAAAGCCATGGTAAAACCATCTAGGCCTGGTGCCTTTGATCTATCCATAGAGAATACTGCTCCTTTATCTCTTCCACTTCAAATTTCCTTTCCAACCATTCCCTATCCTCTAGCTGCAATGTTGGCCATTCCAATCCCTCAATCCACACCCTATTGTTTAGGGATCTTCTAAAAATAGACCTAAAATAATCTGCAAAGGCCCCTGCGATTTTTCTTTGGTTGGAAATTGTTGCCCCTTCAATCTCTAGACTTGAGATATAATTTCTTCTCCTTCCACTTGCCACTGTATGAAAAAACTTGGTATTCCTATCCCCCTCCATTAGCCACTTACACCTTGATTTTTGTCTCCAATTTATTTCCTCCTGTAGAAGATAGTCCTCTAGCTGTTTACTCAATTTCCATCTTTGCTCCTTATCTTCTTCTGTAAGACAACCCCTTCCTTCCTTGCCATCCAAGTCCTCAATTTGTGCAGTCACCATTTGCTTCCTTTCCTCTAGTCTCCCAAACTCTTAACAAATTCCACTCTTTGATTCTACCTTTCAGATATTGGAGCTTTTTATGAAACCGCATTCCACTCCACTTCACTGTTGGATTGCTCTCTAGCCACCATTCTTTGACTTTCTTAATGAAACCCGGGTGTCCTAGCCACATATTTTCAAACCTAAAAGGAGCGGGACCGCATTTCTCACCTCCTCCCTACAGATTACAATAGGCTAGTGGTCAGATGTCACCCTTGGAAGTGCTTAGAATTCAAATTCCCCCAGTGTTCTTCAAAGTCATTTGAGAATAAAAATCTGTTCAATTTGGAGCAAATCGGGTTCACTTGGAGATTGGACCAAGTAAAACAACTGTGTGATAATGGGATCTCTTTAAGTTCGTAGGCATCCACAAATTGATTGAATTTCCTCATACTCATGGTCGACCTCCGCCTAGGACTATTTGTTTCTTCCAGGAATCTTATTACATTGAAATCACCTCCTATACACCCAGGCCCTTCCCACAGTTCCCTTATATCAGCCAGTTCTTCCCATAACTTCCTCCTCTGTCTATAGTCATTCAGTCCATATACATTGGTTAGCACCCATTTGGTCCATATACATTGATTAGCACCTCCTATACACCCAGGCCCTTCAAGGAAACTAAAAATTAGCCTATCAACTCTTCCTGACCTACAAGTACTTCATTCTTCCACATTGTGACAACACCCCCTGCAGACCCCCAAGAAGGCATGGCTGCCCAACTAATCCCCCTACCTCTCCATACACTCCTTGCCCACTTAATGTCAGAATCTGCCCTTTTGGTCTCCTGCAAAAGTACTACATCTGGGTCTATTTTCCTAATGGCCTCTTTTATCACTGCTCTCTTCCTAGCACTTTCCAATCCTCTGATATTCCAGCTTATGATCCTCATCTATCTATATTCTTTACCCTTTACCTTCCTACCCTCACTTGTTCCTTTTCCTCCTTTCCCCTTTGACCTCCATGCTTCTATCTCCTCCCACATCCTTCATCAACCTTTCAGCCTCACTCAATTTTCTCCTTTTAACCTTTGTTTCTTTCTTTTTTTTTCCAAAAACATTTTGAGGTCATTTGGATCCTTCAATTTTTTTTTGATAAATATTTGGATCTTTCAATTTACATCCAATTTCTGTACAAAAACCGCCAGAGTCCTCACTAGTCAAGTCTCTTTCATTTGACTTCCTATTTCTCTCTCCTTGTTCTGCTTTCCCACCTCTATCTCCTTCCTCAATTCCTTCTATTCTAACTCCCTCTGGTCCTTCCTTTTGAATGTTATTCACCACTGCTTCATTTAACAAACCCTCGAGGATTTCCAGAATTCTTTTCCTTCTTTTTGCTTCTCCTTCAATCCCCACTTCTCTCTCCTGACCCTCCCTGTCCCTTCTGTTTTCTCTTACCCCTTCCCTTCCTTCAAGAGCTGCATCTAGGTTGGGATCTGTATTTGGCACACAGGACAAAGAGCAAACATTAGTTTCACAAATCGAAAGGACACAGTTACCTGGGTTGTGTTGGGGTAGGATGGGATTGCCTTGGAAGCAGACCCAGTCAGGCTCTGACAAGGACTGTGGGGTTCATCTAACTCCAAGGCTCGATTCTGAATAGTTAGCCTTTCCGCCTCCTTTGTTAAACAGAGATCTCTTCTCTTACCCTCCTGTTTGTGCCTCACCATTGTGTCCCCATCTTGCTTCTGAGAAGTGTCGAGTGATTCCATGCAAAGATCCTGTTCAGCAAGGTGATTTGGAGATGGAGCTTCTGAGTGCAAGTCAGACTCCAAGTGAATATCATTTCGAAGCCCTCTGACAAAGCACCCAACTAAAGTCTTTTCTAGCCAGTCAAACACCTTAGTTGCTAGCTTATTGAACTCATTCTGGTTGTCATGTACAGAGGCAGTGCCCGTTTGCTTCAGCCTAGACAAATTGTTCATCATAGTCTTCATACCTTGTTGGCCCAAATCTGATGCAAGGGTGTCTATGAACTTTGTCCATGTCACCGAGTATGAAACCTGTGCTACCACTGAAACCACGATTGCATCTCCATCTAGATGAATTGCTACAATGGAGACTCTTTGATGGCCCGGAGTTTCTTGGTACTCAAAGTACCTCTCCGCCTTGAAGATCCATGGAATGGGATCTCCTCCCAAGTAATTTGGGAAATCCAATTCGGTAACTTTGCCATGAAAAGGTCCCTCCAAAACGGAATCCTCCAAAACTTGATACTTCTTGGTCACCCTTTGGTCAATTGGAATTAATCTTTGATTGCTCTGAACTGACAACCAATAGAGCTTCCTTGATCTCCTTCAGTTCAGCCACAACCTAGTGTAGGTTGACTTCAATCTTGTCAATCTGTCATTTAGTGTAGCCGCTCATGAGGTAGGCATCCTGCAGCTCTTATGCCAAATGTTGTGTGCTTGACCAATACACCAAATGCCTTAAGACTGATGAAATGCATCAAGCCGAGCACATTAACATTTAGGACGGTAACACATCCAATACAAGAGCTTCATGTGGAGTTACCGATTACACTGAAAACCACAAAGAGTCTATTGGAGTTGAAAATGTCAGAACCATTTATTGCCAAAGATATAGGAAGGAGGAACTTTGGAAGGGGCATATTAAGAAATGGTAGGACTGAAGTTATTAGTTTTTGAGGGTTTTGCTTTTGAGGAGCTTTAGTTTCTGGTTTTGTCTTTGGGTAGGTGGTTGGGGATCTGGATGGTTCCTTCTAGTTAAGGTTCATATTATTGGCAATATTTCGTGAAATTTCCCCAAACTATCCCCATTTTTTTAGGTGGTGATACGAAATATTCTGTGAACCTTTTTTTTTCAAAATATCTCCAATATTTTGTTGATATGCTGGCGATATTTTTGATTTCATTGATAGACTATACATTTAAGGTTTAAAATTTTAGAATATTATTAAACACTTTAAAATCATCATAATTTGTTGTTATGGGTAATTTTTTATTTGATAATTGACTTACTATTTTGATATAATTCACGTACTAAATCAGTATAATTTAAAGGAAAAAAAGAAAAATGCAAATAACTACAAAAGAGTATTTTAAATCTAATCAAAACAGAAGGTTAAAAAGACAAAAGTCAAAATGGCAACTAATTAGCATATTTAATGAAAAAAATATGGCTAAGTGACTGAAAGGGAGATAAAGAAAGTTACCTATTAAAGTCTTAATTTTCTTGTATTTTATTTATAGAATTCTTTGCTATGATATTTTGAGCCTTAAAATGTGCAATTGTATTTCTTCTAATGATATCTTTGAAGGTTTATTAACTAATTCTGTGTTTCTACATAATTTTCCTGACATTTTTAGATTTTCTAAATATCTTAGTGAAATATCTCTACATGGTGATATCCCCCCATTGACATCGAAATTCCCCATTGACATCGAAATTATGAACCATGTCTCTAGTCATTTTCCAGCATTGTAGATATTGTCTTTGTTTGGAGTCTTTGTGCTGATGTTGTATATTGGTGTCATTCTCCATAATGACTGCAAAATAATAGTTTTTCTTTTCTATCATGTGGTTGATTGTGGATCAAAGAAAAAATGCTTGCTCTTAACTTATTTTAGAACATCTACATGCTTACTGGTGTAGTAGGGTTGTGTACTTCGAGAGCAATCTCATAAGACCTATTCCTAGATTGCCTGCTACATTTTTTGTTCATTCAGCTGAGTTGATGGACTAGATCTTTTTCTTTTTTTGATGCCTTTTTTTTGTTGATCTCAACAACCTTTATTCTACCATATTTCAATATCTATCATATATTTCTCTCATTGACTTTTATGTGCTGAAAGCCTTTCAAATTGTAAGTGCTATTAGTCAATTTATTTTATTTTTTGCGACTATCATTTAGCTTTGTGCATATCTTGTTTGTAGGATGAGAAGGATAAGAAAATTCGGGAACTTTCCTCTGAGCTTCACCGTGCAAACCAACGATTGGCCGAGTGTCGGCAACAACTGGACATGGTGCTTCAGGATATTGAGCGGCACACAAACCATCTTACAAAAAGTGTTCAAGACATAGTTGAAAACGTGAGGATACTTGAATCTGAGGATCATGATTGTTCATATCATGGAGGTTTTTAGTACATAGGTGGGTAATTTTCTATTATTCCTTCATTGTTTTGGATCTAGTGAAATTCTCATTATGTTTCTTTAATTTCTCATTGCTGTGGTTGAGTTTATTGCCCTTTTATACTCTATGAAGTACCTATTTTGAAATAATAACTAACCTAGAAAAAAAAGAGAAGGAAACTTTATGGTTCCATCCATTCTGTTCATATTTTTCTAATTTACTGGCAATTTTTAACTCCCATCATGCTTCCCTCACAATCATTAATTATGTTTTTCCTTTTCTATGCAATACTAAATTAGACTCTTCCAGTCATGTTTCTTTTTTCTTCTTCCCACCCCCTTACATTTTTCTGTATTCATCTATACTGATAGATGTCTGACATTCAGGTGATATTAGGCTCTAGGTAGCCCCTGTTTAGTCAGGCTTAACCAGGGAGAGGGCTTTTACTACAGTTGTTGGCTTGCAATGAGTTAGAGAATGCGGAGCTACATCAACTCTCTTTTTGTTTACTTGGTCACATTTCAAGAATGACTCAAAGATGCGGCATTTTACCTTCCGCTGGTACGAGGAAAGAGTATACTAACGTTTTTTTTTTCTTTTCTTTTCTTTTTCTAATGTTAATGAGGGAATTGCTAAGAGGCTGTATTGATCCGGTACATTATGAATTTCTATACATGATCTAATTTGACATCACATTGATGGACATCTTTTGGTTTCAGTGGTCTAATTGGACCACATCTTGGATTTTTCATCACCCAAATGTTATAGTAATCATAAGCTTCTAAAGAATTACATGGTACTGTTGAATGAGATGTGATGCTATTGAATTTTAGACTAGATTCAGGTGCTGGTAATTTGTTATTAGATTTGATCATAAATAGATCGGGAATTGATTCAAATGGTAGCCGCTGCAAACCATTGGTTTAGTCAGAAGATTGTCATCGACTGGATCGGTGGATTCCCAAGCCTCAACTCTTATCAGGTATGTCCATTTTATAGGACGTAGTTATGGATGAGCTGTTTTTCCACAGATCCAAATAGAAATTTTTGGAATGGAGGTTTTTAAAATTTTACTGTATGCCTGATGTGTTGCTTCCTCAACATTTTTCTGTTTGGATCTTCTGAGAAAGGCACCTTGAACGTATCAGATGTGGGTTTAAAAATTAGAACAGTTAAATTTTTTCTCGAAGAGGAATAAAAGGAAAGTTAATTTTTTACTTCGGATCTACGTCTGGTGTGTTTGGACTTGAAAGGAATTTGCCACACATCGAACAATGCTTATATCATCCACCATCTCTTTGCTGAATATAAATGTGAGCTGAAGTGGGTTGGAATTTAGTTTTACTGAAGATTCTTGCCATCCTTTCCGCATCCGGATGTCCACCATCACTATTCACTACCACCACTTTTGGAGGTGGTAACTGAATTTCTTCGCAAATTATTGGTTTCTGTTAGAGGTTTAATATATATAGTTGATTTTCATCTGGAGGAAACATCAATCTCAGAACTACCCAATCAGATTGAAATAATGGTACAAATTCAAAGTATTGATATGAATACTGAAAAATCACACATCGAACGATTCAAGTAATTGATATTCTGTGTATTGTTTTTTTCGCAGTGAACACCCATCAGACTGCGATTGTTTCATATTTACTGTAATTGTTTAAATTTGACCAGTGCCCCCAATTCCTACTGTAGCTGTATTCTTCAGTTTAGAAACCGATGCGTATAGTACAATATGTTACGATACATTGTGATACTTTGAACCAAGATTGAAACTGAGATGAGTTGTGTATCACTTGTCCGTTTGTTAGATAGAAACAATTGTCGCATTTCTGGTCTAACTACTTCAGTCCTGAATGAAGTTCGTGTAAAGTCGCCAAAACCAAAGTATAACAAATGTCAATGGCCGAGCAGATTACCAGATGGCCCAGCTCCTGTCGGAAAATTGAAGAGCTAGGCGTCCTTTAAAATCCATGGCTATAACAAATGACAATTCGCCTGCGTCTGGAGCAAGCAACTAAATTCTTAGTCTTCAAAGTGTCTTTCTCAAATCTTTCCTTTACAGAATTTGATGCTTCATCTTGAAAATTGTCCAATATGGTGCCCGGTGGTGTTGAGGTGTCAGCATTGAAGATCTTGGAACGGTGCCATACTGATATCTGCCGCCTTTGATCAAGTTTGAGGGGCTTCTCTGTTCTCAAGGAGCTTTCTACTAATCCATTGTGCAAAATTTAAATCTCTCCCTTTGCCGCCTGTATGTCTAGCTGAAGTTACAAATTGTATTTCATTAAAAAGTTTTATCAGATACATTGAACCCAAGGTTCAAAGTATCGGAAGGGAAATTTTAAAAGACGTATTGAGATACGTCTTGGATACGCATGTGTATCAAAGAAAAACTAAGATATGCATAAATACGCTTGGAAATATTATAAATACTTTAATAAATCATAAAAAAAACATCAATAACACTAAATATAAGACCTCAATGAGGTGTATATACATTAAATTAATATATTTTAATGGTTTTATGAAAAATATATAGTAATTAATTATAATTTCATTAAAAATCTTATTCTTAATTACAATTTATGAATTATAATTCTTAAGTTTTAATGTTTTATGGGATGGAAAAAACCCAACTATCCTATCCAACCATAAAACATGCATTGGCACAACTTCTAAGTGAAATTATAATTAATAATTCTTTATTATTTAAATCATTATTATTTATTATTTATTTCCAAAAAATATCAAAAATAAATAAACATTAAATAATATATTCAAAAATAGTTATTAAAGAATAAATTTTAATTGCTTTGTGGGTATGATAGATCATTCATAGAATTATAATATATTCAATCATTGTGATCAAATGATAAAATATAATTATTTATTTATTTATTTATTAATTCTAAAAATAAAAAATAAAAAAATAATTATTAAAGAAGAAATTTCAATTGGTTAGTGGATATGATAGATCATCCATAGAATTATAATATATTCAATTGTTATGATCGAATGATAAAATGTAATTAATTATTATTTATTTTTTAATTCTAAAAATCTAAAAAATTAAAAAAGAAATTTCAATTCCTCTATGGATATTTAGTCTTATGGGTAGAGAAAAAAATACATTTTCAAATTTTGTGTTAATTTATAATTTCCCCAAATATCTTCACGAAATTTCCATAAATCTACTGATAACAAAAAAAAAATTGTGATTTTGAATGTAAGAAATGTAGTTCAACATAAATTTAAATATTCAAGGAAAAAGTCACAAGATATTATAAAAATTGAAAAAATATACCTATTTTTTGTCATATTTTTTCAAAAATTGAAAAATTTCCAAAAAAAAATTAATGATTCACACTTGTTTCTTGCAAATTTTTGCAAATCTACCACTCTATGGATGAAGTTTGGAGTTTTAGAGTCATTTGGAGGTGAAAGAAGGCTTATTTCAGGGAAAAGAAGCTTGCTTTCCCCCTTAACTTTTTTTTAGTTTCTAGCCGTATCTTTTTCGTTGATACGCTATCAATACGCCCCAGTACACCCCCGATACACCTCCAATACACCCCAATACGGTCCGGTACAGGTTCGATACGCATGAAAAAATGGTGAGACGCCTGATTTCCATGTGTATCCCTATCTGCTTTTCAAAGATACGATACGATACGCCCCTATCTGGCATATCATATCAAAATTTTAAACCTTGGTTAAGCCTAAGGAGTTATGCTAATGCAATTAGTAAGGTTAGTAAAATTAGTAGTTAAATAACAACATCAAGAAATTTGTATCTTGCGGATAGCACAATAATTACAAAAACTTGAAAAGTAAGCAAAAAGAAAACAGGAAGGCACAAATAAAAAAGAGGCACAAGATTTTTATAGATGTTCATAGAAACCCTTACCTGTGTCTTCTACCTTAAACACCCTTTGAGGATTTTCAGTAACAGGCCAATTGGATTTCGCTAGTGCTAGTAAAGCCTTACAACTAGTAGGACTTTCAAGTACCTGCAATACCTTGACAGGACTTATAGTTGTTTATCCAACTTAACATGGTAGAGCTTACCGATGCCTATGAAATCTTAAACGGTGTTCAGAATAAAACACCTACTAACACTCAAAAGATATTGTTAATGTAGCCTAGTGGCAAGATTTTTTTTTTTTAAAAAAGCATCTATAATAGGAAAATAAATCAATACACGATTAAACCTATTCAATTGCAAGAGTTACATTCAAGATGCTCAACTCAATGAAGAAACCCACAATAGATGGGTGGAATTGTACAAGATTTTCTCACATCTAAAACTATGGAAAACTTAAGAGATCTCTTCAGCAAAAAGACTCTTGCTAAGTTGCTCTCACAAAAATAACTTTACACTAAATACAATATTAGCTCAGATTGTTTTTTTCTTGCTTGTCTTTAATTAAGCTAAACACCTCTATTTATAGAGGATTTGAGAGCAAGTGACCATCTAATTGTTGGAGGGGTTTTTGCATACCTAATAAACATTCAAAATGTCTTCAACATGATAGAAGGCTTATCAAACATAGTAGTCATTTAAGACTTTCAATGGTCAAATTCATCAAAATATTCTACTACTAAAATCTAGTAGTCATCTACTAGATGGAGGATTATTTTTTTTTTCTCCTCAATTCAGTTAAATCCTTCTATTTAATCGACTAATATGTGTTCTAACTTGGCATGACAGAGTTAGTCGATTATACATTTTGGGGTAGTCAACTACATTATACAAGCTAGTATTTTCATGCTTTGACTATTATAGGTAGTCGACTATGCCTTTTGGGTGGTCGATTATGTCTTATAATTAGCAATTTTCAGCCCTAGTTGTTAAGCTTAGTCAATTATATGATTTTGGTTAATCAACTAATGGTAACCCAATGCTTAGAAACCTTGGAAATATTTGTCCAAAGGTTTGGGAATTCTTCTATGGCTTTCAATGATGATTTTCAAGTATATAAAGCATTTTTTAAGTCCAAAAAAAACCTAGAAGCCAAACTTATTCTAACCATTGGTCTTTAAGGTTTACTAAACCAAGTTAGGTCTTGCTGAGTATCATGAAGAGTACATCCATGCTATTGATTATATCAAGAATCTAGAAATATGACACTTTAGAGCATGGCTTAATGTAATCTTCGTCCTTGGTGAGTTGTCGTAGCATAAGATGACTTTGAGGAGATCCAAAGCCTTTTAACACTTTTGTAGCCTTTGTATGCTTCAATTTCATTTGAGCATCCTCATTTGAGAGATAATAGTTGGTTTAAAATTATAGATCTCAATCAACTAAAACAACAGCGCACTAAGCCCCCTTGTTATGGATTCTTGACTTCCTTTTGCTCCATCACTAGTGAAGAACTCCGGTAGCGATGGTCTAAATCCCTACCCACTTTCCCTATGCCTGTTGCCTAACACCTAGTTACAGCATGAGTTCTGAGGTCCTCCTATGCCTCTCATACAACCTTTCCTTGAGCCTTTGGTAGGGGCTTTCTGATTCCCATTTACTCTCACTAGCGGACAACTCGACGGTCTAAATCCTAACCTAGTTCCCCATGTCCTCATTTGTCGTTCAAACAACCTTTCTTGAGACTTTGGTAGGGGCTTTTTGATTCATTTTTGCTTCATCACCGATGGTATCAAGTTTTTTTGTTGAACTCTTTCCACTTAGAAAATCTCTCTGCTATGGAATAACATCCCTTCTATCTGCTTCGCAATTTTTTCTTCTTAAGGCTCAGTTTGGAAGGAGTATAAATGCAAATGTGTAGAGTGCAAAATCTTGTATTTTATATTATTTTGTATGTATTTGAACTGTACATATTTGTATTTGTACTCCTTCCAAACTAAGCCTAAATGATTCAAGAACGGGATGAAGAAGCAGGGTTAATACTAGTCTACAAGCAACCATAATCCAATGCAATCATTTGACATCCAAGAGAAGAAGAAAGTAATCTAAAGAGCCTGGATTTGGATTATGTGACTCTACTTTCTTAGTCATTGCATCAATCAAAAGTAGAATTGATAAAGCGATGGATAAAAGAAGAAGAATAGAAACCCTATATTCAGATTTCACGGAAAAGCTCAAAATTGAACCTCCTGAAGAGTCTATTAAACCCAAATTTAGATTCACCATCCAAATGATTAAAAATATACAACAAATTGTAAGAAGAAAACAATTTCTTAAAAAGAAGAAAAATAGAAACTACAAATAATACTCACTTTTGTGCAATCAAGGATAACATACAAGCTTTTCTTTTCTTCTTGGGTTCTTGTTGTTTACTAGAAGACTTCTCTGGTTCTTATAGTAACTATATTGTGTTTGAAAAATGTTTATTTTCTCTGGATTTTTTTTTTTTTTTTGAGAAAAGGTAAAGTATAATTGTAAGACTTCTATAAATATTATTTTTCTACTATAAGACTTATCCGGTTCTTGTGCAATAACTATATCCTCTTCAGCAAATGTTTATTTCCTGCATTTAAAGCTTTATCGAGATATTTAAAATAAAATAAACCCATGATAAATATCAATGGCATGAAGGCATGGAATCCAATATGTCGTGGTCATTGTTGTGTTGAGACATGTATTCACAAGTTCATGTGATTGTTAAACTTGTATGACAGTTATTAATTATTCATTAATATTTATATTATTAATAATTATTTAAAAGAAATTATCTAGAATTCATCATGATTTTTCAGCATTTCTCTTAAATTCACTATAACTTGTCAAAATGTCTAGGGAACCCCATGTCAGTAACTTGATGTTAAATATACTAATAATAGGTGTTATTAGATTATCATTTTACTCTTTATTATATTCGACCCATTTTTCAATATTTTAAAAATACTCGTCTTATTATTTAACCAAAAAACCCATTTTTCAATTCCTCAAACAGTACAATGAGAGCACGCCTCTCAATGAATAAAAATCTTATATATAAGATAGTTGGGCGCTTAAAGGCATTTTAGTCATAAAAATCATGCTTCTATTGTTTATTCAAAAATCAAAAGGTATTTGTATCTATTGTTTACTCAAAAATCAATCAAAGATACCATCTCACGTACATTAATGATTTTAGATTAAATTGGCAGTTTTCAAGAGTCAAGATATTACATTAACACCTTTTGAAATTCAAGAACTAAATTGAGACCAACCCCCAAGGTAGAAGATACTAATAGGCAATTTAACATTAATATACAGTAAAGACACTTTCAATTGCTCCTTCTTGGCCATAAGATTTATCCATACATCAAGTTATTCCAATTGAGGGCCTCGGGCCACTTACCAACAAGGAATGGGGTTTAAGCATCTTCTTCACCACAGCCACAAGCAAAATGCACGTTCTCTTTAGATTTACAAATTACAACTACTGAAAAGACCCTCATCTGATACTTGGCAAATAAATCCTCAGATTACAAAGAAAAATAGAAAACCCTTCGTGCAAGTAAAACATTCATCCTTCATTTGATTTACATGTCTCAAACTTTTCCATTCATAAGTCTTTCAAGTTTCAACAAAAACAGATAAACCCATCCTAGTCATTACCAAATGTTGACCCTAACCTCCAAACAATAGGCAAGTGACAAATTATGGGGGCAGAAATAGGGTTTAAGGATCTTGTTCACCCCAGACACAAGATTTTGCCAGCTGGCAAAATGCAGGTTCTTTAGGGTCATACAGCCAATGAAAAGAACCCTCATCTGATGCTTAGCAAATTCCTCCATATGACAAACAGAACCCTCGAGCCAAGCAAAGCGTTCATCACCCTCCTCTTCTGAGTTCTGAAAACAAATCAAACTTTAGAATGCAACACATAAGCAGAATAGAAGAAAAAATTACACTCTTGAGGAGTCTCTGAGAGAGTCTACCAAATTAGTATACTAATGTGTGAAAGCATATATAGCTGTGGAAATATAGACGATCAGACCCGTAGAGACCAATGTGACCAAAGCAGCCACTGAATCAACCGCATGCTTGCTGCCACAGGACAGCATCCCCAGCCTGATCTGAATCACATTAACTATAGACAACATCAAGAAAAGGCACCCCATCACCGAACCCACTGCAGATCCCAGCATCCCAAACCTCAGAACCTTGAGATTTATGTGTGCCTTGAAGACTTCATCAACGTCCTTACTGTTGAGAAGATTCAGTGCAAGCTTCAAACCCTGAGCCACCAAGCTTGAGAAGAGGAAGAAACTGAAAGAAACCACCTCGAAGACCAGGAGCTTCTTCTCTATGTCGAGTCCCGCATCGCATACGTTTGTGTTCTCTAGGCTGTGCTGGCCTGGTGTGGTAAAGGATAACCCAACGAAGACGGCTATGGTGAAGAGGGAGTTGACGTTCACGAGACCATCCAGTGCTGTGACATGAACGCTGGTCGATGATGATGACGACGACGACTGTGAAATTGAGCTGGTTCTTCTGGTTACTCGATCGTCATATTCTTTTGGGTATTCTAAGAATCTGAGATTGGGGAATGAAAAACCTCCATTTTAATAAGAGATAAGTAGATAGATGGAGAAAGAGACGATGGGAACTTACTCGGCCATGCTTAGATCTAGTCGTCCTTGAGCGCTTTTGGGCAAGAGAGAGCGAGAGACGGAGACCTACTCTTCTTCCATGAATTGATCTGCAGCATTATTTGGGCGATCTATATGATTTTCATCTAGGTCTTTTGCTTTTTTGTCAAGGGAGAGGAAGCAGCAGTAGAAAAGAATCTTTGCCTTTATCTAGTGGTTCGATAAACGACAGCGGACGGCTGAAGCTCTGAACTTTTTCAAAGGAGAATACGGACCGTCTTAACTCTTAATACGCGTATATGGATAATGGATGGCCCAAAGGAGAATACGGAGTGTTTATGATGGCCCAGCCCAATTCCAATTGTAAATCCCAATCTAGAGTTCGGACGCCCAGATCAAGATTTAGGTGGCACTTTCTTAGTTGAAACCTGGAACCGGGTGATTTGGGAAAAAATAGTTTCCTGATGGATTTATCTTTTGGTAAGTACAATAATCATATAAATAGCCAATAGGGATGTCAATGGGTTAGGTTAAATGGTAAAGCCGGCTTGATCCTATCCGGGTCAGTTTTATTCGGGTTAAACTGAATCAGTTCACAAGTCGGGCAAGTTCAGTGATCCTATTGTAGTCAGGGTGGGCTGGATGATGTATGGGTTGGGGTGCTTAAGGGATTTATTGGGTTCAAACAATTTGGGGTGGAGTGAGTGATCAACCCAACCCCAAGTCCCCAACATGTCAATTAACAATTAAGAAGCTGCCTTCTGCTTAATTGCTTGACTAGGCTGTAGTCTTTGGAGTAGGATCGTCTGTTTCTCTTATTGTGTGTGTACCCCTTAGGTGTCCTCCCACTCAAGGAAGGACACATGTCCATTTACAAAAGGGTTCCACTATGATACCATGTCTCTGGCATCATAGATTTTTCCCAAAGACCAGCTCTTGTCTACATTTCTGTTTATGGAGGCCATAAGAGAAATAATAAATGAATTGAATAATCAGTTAACAATCAGGAGACGCTAGAATGGGTGTCTGGTTTCAAGTGCAAAACCAGGCCTATACATCATTTGATACTTGAGTTTACTCTTCAAAAATCAAAAAATACAGAAACGAGATGGCAATATATCCCTGTCCCTGGTATGTGCCTAATGCCCCGTCAACGATTTGATGCCATCTTTCCTTTAGTTGCTACCAGAAAGCCATAAATTTTCTTTCACCATCCTCCACATAAAGCCAATTTAAGTTAATCCACGGGCTTCAAGAGACCACCCCAAATACAACCTCCTGTGATCCACAGCCAAGTCTCCAAGGACATGAAGCTCCAAAAAAATAAAAAACAAAAAGCCCTGAAATAGAAAATGACAGGCATCTACAACTATGATCCCTCCTATAACCTTGTAATGTTATTTTCCATCACTAAGGCCCCAAGTGCTCCCTTGAGCTCTCCTAAAAACTAAAAAGACCGCTAGCACAGTCGCTTTACAACCACATGAAGATACATGAAGAAATATTTCTTGGACGCAATAAAACACTGGTAAACTTGGACATCCTTATATATTTTGAAATATATACAGCCCAGATATGAGGGTTTTGATTTAAAATAAAAGGGATCCCCAGGAATTGATCCGTCCCAGCATAAAGCAATGCTGGGAAAATATTCACGGTAAGTTGACAAAAAATTGTATGCTGAGAGAGCTTAGCTTCCTTGATGTTCAACTTCCTTCATGTTGTTAACTATGTCTTCAATTTGCTTTGACAGGTGATGAGCATGGTCTTCCATATGTTTCAAAACCATTTGCAGCTGTTCTCGATATGTGGCAGATCGCCTCCTTTCACGTCTAAGTTCAGCTGAGAGCTCCTTGATTTTCCTTTTATCATCCTACAAAAATTTAAAAGCATAGACAATCATTAGATAGACCAGTTGAAGCAGTAGATTTTGGTTCAAAGAAATCCACTTGGTGGTACACTAATTAGTATGAAATGCCCATCAAAGAATATGAGCTTTGCACCTAGTAGAAGACCCAGTGGATTATGGATCACAACCCAATAGGGACAGAAAAACAACCCCTTTTAGGAATGCAGAGATGATTGCTAAAAATACCTTCCAAAACTCGTATCATCACCAATGCTCTCCCATCAATCAGTCTCCCATACATGCATTTTAAGGTATCACTGTTTAGCCTCAAATAAGTGTACGCATCTCTATCAATCAACCCAAAATGTTTCAGGTAGAAACCGCAATGTTACCAAACACAACCCAAAAAACGAAAAACTTAATATATATATATATATATATATATATATGTGTGTGTGTCTGTGTGTGTGTGTGTGTGTGAGAGAGAGAGAGAGAGAGAGATTTTCATATTCCAATTGGGAATGACAATGTTTTTTCTACCACATACAAGTAATTTGAACTTCCTCAAAATTGATTGTTCACTATTTGTCAAGTGAATCTCTGTTCCTGTAGGTTAATATATTTTAAAAACCTGATTTTTGCAAACCATTCAGTTTTTAGAACTGCAAGGGCCTTCTGGCGGCCAAGGCAAAAGATGCAAGGTGAGGTTCATGCATTTTCAAAATAAGGCACAAATTTCTGAAAAATTTGAAGGAAAAAGGATACATAAAAAATACAAACTTGAATTTTAGAAGAAATTGGATGTTATAAAAAGCCTATTGGATCAAACTAAAATACATATTTAAGCAAAAACATGTGGATCGTACCAAAGAGCTCCAAGCATTCAACAATTCAAACATGTGAAATTTCCTATCTGGTTATTTATATCAGAGTTCCATTTCTTTCTGCGAAGATGGTTGCATTACTTCCAGTAGCCAGCATGTTGCTCAATATCTTGCATTCCTAATCCATTGACCCTCAGTGTCCACAAAGGCCCCTTGAGGCAAAAAGTGTTAGACAGTTGTATGCCCTTAGCTCCAATCAGAATGATGTACATTATGAATTTATTGTAAATGAATAAAGTACATATACGCCCTTACCTCCAATGAATAATGTACATTATGAATTTATTGTAAATGAATAAAGTACATATTTGATTCATGTTCCTATGGTGTGTTTCTGTGTAATACCCTTAAACTGGACACTTATGAGACTCGT